TCTGCCATACAAAGCAAAAGTTTCATTGCTTCAGGATATTTCCGTAGAAGGTGGCCTTGGTATCAGTAGTCACCAGGTGCCAGGTGCCAGCTCACTATTGTCCTCACATCTGGACTGGCAACCTCCTAGTCTGGTGGGTGCAGTTCTAGGGATTGGGGAATAGCCATGATTGCCAGGCTTGTCAACGGTTGCCCCTCTCCCTCTGCTGTCTCCTGTGCCTTTTTTTTTTTGGTACCAGGGATTGAACTCGGGACCTTGTACTTACAAAGGAAGGTGGCCAAACCACTGAGCTAAATCCCTGTCCCTCCTGTGCCTGTCTTGGATGGAGATGAAAGTAGGGCTGCAGTTGTGGTGTGGTGGGATTGTCCTTCCTAAGACTTTCAGGTGGATCTTGGAAGGCAGGCATTATCACAGGGTGGGAAGCTTGGACTGCTGTCACCCTTGGCCAGGGGCAAGTAGGAAAGGACACAGGTATCTTGCTGTGTGCCTTTATGAGTTAGCAGGTCAGTGGCACATGGCTCATCCTGGGTTATGTAGGGGCACTCTCAGACAAGGACACACAGAGAGATCCTTTGCCTGGACACACCAAGAGTCTCATGAGCTGAGGATGGGACTAGGCCTCCCTGGTCATTTCAGGTTACTGCCCTCAGATTGTGCTGCTGATAATGGGGCATCCTGCAGTCCTTGGGAGCAGTTCCAGGCAAAAGGTACTGTCATTCTACCTTGGCTGGTACAGGAAGTACTGTCAGTCTTCCTGAGCTGGAAGGCAAGGAGCAGGGAGCACCAGCACTCCCTGACAGTGGGGTCCTAGCCCTTTGACAGGCTTCTTGGCTTCTGAGCTAGAGCAATCCCCTGACTGGACCCATGCTGAGTCCTAAAGGGGATCATACTTGTTCTGATACCCTGTTGTTCTCTGAGTGCTTGCAGAGCATGCCTCAGCCAGGTCTGGGCCAGGCCAATGGGCCCTAGTTAATTAGCATCTTCCTTGCAGGGCAGTAGCAGCCACCCCCATGCTTCCCTGAGGCAAGATCTGGGCCACTGCCCCATTTTAAACTAGGGCAGCAGTTCCCAGATGAAAGTAGAGGAGGAACTGGTTCTTAGGTCTTGGGGTGTGGCAGATGATGCATCTCTTTTTTGCAATACTGGAGTTTGATCCCAGGACTTTGCTCCTGTTAGACAAGCACTCTGCATGCTCACTTCAGCATATATACTAAAATAGGAAAGCACTCTATCACTGAGCTGCGTTCCCAGCCCAATTTTTTTATTTTTGAGAGAGTGTCTTGGTAAATTGCGTAGGGTAACCTGGAATTTGTGATCCTCCTGGCTCAGCCTCCCAGCGCTGGGATTAAAATCCTATGTCACCATACCCAGTGAGAAGTGGGTACCTCATAATGCTCAGTGTACCCTTCCTTTTCCTGCCGGGAGGCTGTGTGATCACAGTACTCTCTGGCTGTGTGAGATGCCTAAGTCATGCAACAGTGAGGAAGTGAATGCCTGTAATAGGAGCCTCTCAGCATCACTGATTGCCGTGGCCAAGGACCTAAAACAGCCTGGCAGTGACAGAGGTATAGGTGTTTGCTGAGTGAGCACAGGGGCACACAAATGAAGGTAGAAGAGGCTCTGGCTAGAACATCAGTTTACCCCTTACCAGGCTCTAAGAGAAGGTGCCCCTCAAGCAGGACCTTGGGCCTTTCACAGAGGGCCAGAGCCATACTGTGCTCTTTGGTAAGCTCTCACCCTCATGTTCTATCTGAGGAGAAGCCTCAGAGCCTGCTTTGTAAAAGATTCCACTCTCTTTCCAGGCTATTGAGAGTTAGAACCAGGATGGGAAGTGGACTGACCCTGCCTATATCAGTGTTCCTCATGGCCTCTACCCTGTGCCACACACTTATTCACTGTGTGCCCAGGCCCTGAGGTTAGAAGACTTGGGAAGGCCAGCCTTCCTTGCCCCAGAGTAACTTGAGCCAGTGGCTCCAGTGTGATGACCTCCTCGGTGGAGAGCTATCCAGAGCCCCAGGAATAGGTAGCTCAGGGCAGGGGAGGCACTGTCCCTGGGGATGCTACTGGGTCCTCCTGTACCCTCAAGAGGCCACTGGGTATACAACCTTCCTCCCCACAAAAAAGTTACATGAAGCCTTTGTACAACTATTCACCATGCATGGGTCCATCAGCCACAAGGGGCAGGCAGGATAATGGCTGACAGCTACATCCAGAAGGCAGGTTCCCCATGGTCACCTGGTGAGATCAGGACCCCAGGCAGAGGGGGCGCTCTCCCAGCCAGGGCAGAGGTCCTTAATACCCTATGAGGGGATCTCTTCCTTGGCAGCAGGTGTTGGGTGGTGGAGTGATGTCACCCTTGGAAATCCCCTGAATGCCCTAGAAGGTGAGCTCTCAAGGCTCTCTGATGGGATATTTGTTCTTCCTGGCCTCCTCTCCCTATTCCTTGTCTTTTGAGGACTCAGCAAGAAGAAACTGTGTTGTTTCTCCTCTCCTCCCTTCAGGATCATTTTCCCAGGGCTGGGTCCAGCTCAGTGGGGAGTAGGTTAAGCTTGAATATCTTCCATGCAGTGGATACCACCTCTGCCCTGGTCCTGCTAGTGGGTCCAGTAGCACACCTTGCCCTGTACTGAACCTTGGTGTCTTCCTCCAGGACAGGCTGGTGGGTGGCCAGTCAGGAGAGCTGCAGGTGGCCCCGGAGGCACACAATTCTGCTTTCACCACGAATGCAGGCAAGGTGTTTTGTTGACCACAGATGAGCTCTGGACACAGGTGTGAGCATGGACAACTCTGCTGGGCAACAGGATCTACTATAGGAGAGGAACACTAGAAATGCTTCCTGTGGGAGGCTACTGTGTTTCAGGGCTCAGTAATGCACGGATTGTTCCAGCGCTGACAGTAACCACAGGAGAGGCAAGTGTCTTGGGTAACCTGGCTGATGCAGGGCTGGTAGCTTGGGAATGTGCTTTGCTGGGTCTCTGGTCAGGACCCTAGCAGCTACAGCAGCTGATGGACTGAACTGTCACATGCAGAATCCACCAGCATATGTGGCTAGTGCGTCCCAGGAGGTGGCATGTCCACATTGAGATGAGCTAGCAAACACAGCCCAGAGATGTGGACCTCTAAATAATGTCCTTTATGTGATTTCACATTGACTGTGATATCAGATATGTGGGGTTACACAAAGTAACCCATGTTCCTCTTACCTGTCCTTTTACCACCTTTACTGCCTTCTAGGAAACCTGAACCTGCCTGGTTTGCTCTGGCCTGAACCGGCCAGGCTTCCTTAAAGGGCCAGCTAGGAAACACTTGTGACTTTTGGCCCAAGCAGTTTTCAGAAGTAGCCACAGGCAACATGTAAACAGATGAGTAGGGCCGTGTCCAGTAAAAATATTTGTGGACACTGAGATTTGAATTTCATGTAATTTTCACCTTCTGTATTTATTTTTCTTTTTCTTATTTTCCCCAGCCACTAAAATATGTAAAAGGGGCTCTGGCTGATGGGTTGGTCCATGCTCTGTGACCACAGTGTGTTCACTGCCCGTCTTGCCTATGAGGGAGACTTGAGCAGGCACAGGATCCAGGGCCAGTGGTGCCCCATCCCACCCAGCCTCTTAGGAGAAAGCAGCCCCTCACGCTTTGAGTGAGAAGGCCATCAAGTGGGTGTTATGGCTGCATGGAAGACTCGGGCGAGTGGGTACAGACTGTTGGGCCTATAGCCTGGGGTATTGAGGAAGGGCTGGGCTCAGTGCTGCTAGTCTTCTCAAGTGTTAGGTGCTTTTATTTATTTATTTATTTTTAACGGTACTGTACTGGGGGCTGAACTCAGGGTATTCTAAGCTACATTCCTAGCCTTTATTTTATTTTGGGACAGGGTCTCACTGAGTTGCCCAGGCTTGACTCAGACAGGCAGTTCTCCTGTCTCAGCCTCCAGAAAAGCTGGGGTTGTACACCGGCATGTGCTGCTGCATCTGGCTAGGTGCTGACTCTTAAAAGGAACCACACAGCCCACCCACCTGCGGTGTGGAGGAGCCCCCTTCCCCGTTCCACACATTCCTGCTTTAGTGTCCCAGGGGCTTGTGAAGAAGCTGGGGTGGGCTGTTGGTGGGTAACAGTGGGCCCAGGGGTGGGGGACTACTGGGATTAGGCCTGCCTGTTAGCCAACAATCAGAATGGAACTTGGTTGCCCTCTTCAGGCCAGAGCCCTGGCATTAAGACTCTAGTAACCCAGGCAGTCCATGCAGGTCAGCCTCCCAGGCCCAGGACTGCCACCTGTAAGCCTCGTTTGGGCTCTACCTCCCCGGCTAGGGCTGTAGGATAGCCTCTCTTGTGTAGATAGTCTGCTTGCTGAAGCCACAGCCAGGCTGTGGTTCCTCCTGGTCACCTGGGCACTGTGAATCTCTGGAAGGGAGGCTCAGGGACTGGCCCAGGACAGTGGGTTTGCAAGGTTGGCTGCTGTCTTTCCAAAAACACAGCTTAACCTTTGTCCTGTATGTCTTTCTCTGGCCATTGATGGTTCCAGCTACCTTTCTCTGAGACACCTGTGAGACTTAGATCACCAGCATGCCTTCTGCCCCTTCATTTTTCCTTTTCCTGTGGTTAAACTTCCATGTATTTTTTTTCCTATAATAGGGCAAAAAGGTGTGATCTCTTTTCCAACTAAGGAATAAACCCCTGTGAAAACCATAGACAGGTGGTGTGGGTGTTGCTGGATATTCAGATGCAGGGTGGGATGATGCGCAGTGTGGGAACTGCAATGCCCTGCGAGCTAGTACAGCCCCCCTCTACCTGCTGTGGGCCTTGCTGTGAGAGGAGCCCTGTGGTGCTCAATAGTTGGAGTCAAGCCCTGGGTCCCTGCATCTTGTTCTCCCCTTTCCCACCATAGGGTGCTCAGCATGCTGGGAACCCTCCCAGGGCCTGGGACTTTGTCTCTGTGATCACACTGTTTCTTCTCTCTTTTTATTCTCTCTCTCTTTGTTTATTTTTGTTATGTCACTGACCAGCCAGCCGCCCTGTCTCCGGCGTGGGCACTCTGCTCTCTCCATGCTCCCGTTCGTGTGTTGCCGGCCAGAGGTGACCAGGCCCAGCTCTCAGCGTGGCCACTGTCAGGGAGGCCATGGGGAGCTCCGCCTCCTCCCTGGCCACCGAGACAGAGTCAGACCATGGCTTCCCTAGGGGGCTGCCCTACCCAGGGACCCCAGCAGCGGCGGGCTGGTGTAGGAGTGGCCCTGGGGCGCCTGTCTGGGGGAGTGCCCTGGTCACCAGGCAGCACCCACGCCCCCGGGCCCGCAGGTAAGAAGGTGGGGAGGGACTGCCCCAGAGGGGTCTTGGGCAGGAGGCCTCTTTTTCAAGGTGTCCTTCCTTGGCAGAGGTTATTTCTCAGAACTGGGGGCCCTGTCTCTTAGGGCTTTCTGGCAATTTGTTCCCCACAAAATGCACTTCCACTCTTGGCTGAGTAGAAGCCCTCTCCCTGAACAGGGTATGTTGGTGGCACATCTTTGCTATGGCCTACCATGCCTTGAAGAAGCTGCCTAAAGACCCTCTTGGACCAGGGAAGCCGCTGACCCCAGCCTTCATGGCTTTGACTCCCACAGTCTGCCATCTGCTGGCATGGTGAGAGGACCAACGTGGAGCTGTGGGCAGCACATGGTGGACTGGACTCCTCAGGTGGCTTTGATGTAAGGTCTGAACTCCTAGAGATGATTAAAGACATGAAGAGGCCTTTGAGGCTGTGAGAGCGTCTAGAGTCCTAAGAATTACCCTAGTGAATGGGAGCTACAGTCTAGGGAGGACAGGAGCAGAGTAGCAGCAGAGACCAGTGTGAAGGGGCGTGGCCAATCCTGGTGGCTGCACCCTGTTTTTCCTGCACATGTTGGTGTTAAGAGTGCGTCCACAGGGCTGGGGATTTAGCTCAGTGGTTCTCCCACCTGCCTCGCAAGCACAAAGACCTGAGTTCAATCCCCAGTACAAAAAAAAAACAGACAAAAAGAATACATCCACAGAACCTCTCCATGCTTTATCACTCTAGGGAACACCTCCATGTGTCTTTTCAAATAGCTTTCTTGAGCCATGACACATTCCATCAAATCACCTGTTAGTACAGTCATTTCCAGCCAGTTATAGCTTTGTTCAGACATCCTCACAAACCAGTTACAGCATCTCTGTACCCCAAACAGATCCTCCTACCTATTTGTAGTCGCTCCCTCCCTATCCTGGTCCTAGACAGCCACTTAACTGCTGCCTGTCTGTAGGTTTGCCTTTTCTAGAAATTTCACATATGGAGAGTCATACAGAGTATGGCCTTATGGGTCTGGCTGCTTTTACTCAGCGTAATGTCCTCGGGGTTCGTCCACATTGCAAATGTGTCAGAATTTCACTCCATTTTGTGGCTGAATAGTATTGTATTGTAAAGATACACCACCTCTTGTTTGTTCGTGGGTACTTGGCTTGTTTCCAATTGGCTTTTATGAATAATGCTGCTATAAACATTCACATTGAAGTTTTTGCGTGGATGCATGTTTTCGTTCATGTTGGCTAGATCCCTGGAGCAGAGTTTATGTGGCTTTCACTGCACCTGTCACACTGCTTTCAAAGCGGCTGCACCACTTCACATTTCTGCTAACGGTGTGGTGGCGGTGGGGAGGGGGTTCTTGTGTCTCTCATCCTGTACGTGCTTGTCAGTGTGCATCTTTTTGACTCTAAACATCCTAGAGGATACACGGTCATGTCTAATTTGGTTTGATTTGCACTTCCCTGAGAGCTAATGGTATTGAGCATCCTTTTTTGTTTTCATCTATCCACATTTTTTAATTTTTCTACTTGTGTATATCCTAAGGAAAATTTGTTAGAAGTAGAATGACTAGGCCCAGAGGCTGGCTGTTTGTATCTGGACTACATTCTGAGAGTGTCACAGTGGCAGGCAGTGCCCCACAGTGAGTATCATCACACACTGGCCAGACAAGTATGTGGCTTGCTACTTGTATTTTCTACTAAGTTGATGTGTGCAAATGAAAGTTCAAGGTTCTTAAATCCAGAACTGTTTTCCAAGTCACATTTTAAAATTTTAGGGAAAAAGATTTTAAGGGCCAGGGATGTAGCTCAGTGGCACTGCGCCTGCCTGGTAAGCATAATAAGGTCCTGAGTTCAATTGCCAGTACCGAAAAAAATTTTTTAACCTAGTATAATTTTTTTATTATGGAAATTCCACACACTTACTAAAAATTCAAGCAGTACAAATGAGGCATGGTGACTCACACCTGTAGTCCCAACAACTCAAGAAGTTTGAGGCCAGTCTGGGAAACACAATACCCTGTCTTAAAATAAAACTTTAAAGGGAAAGGGCTGAGCATGTAGCTCAGTGGTAGACTGCTTGGCCTACAATAAGGTCAGTCTCTATTAGTACAAAAAAAGAAAAGAGAGATGGTGGGATACAGAGGAATATAAAGAAAAATATGTTTTTTCCCATTTTTTTGTTGGTGGAGGGGGTGCTCAGCCCTTCTTTGTTAGCCCCTGGGCTAGAGTCACAGACCTTAAAATACCTAGGGACTCATGCTGCAGTTGTCTACCTGTCCTGTCTTCCTTGGGACCTTTGGGAGGGAGGGTGGTGGTGGCTGTGGTTCTGGCTGCAGCAAGGAAGGCTGGAGCCTTGGACCAGTGCAAATGAGGAGCGAGCCCTGTGGGGTTTGCCACGCAGTCCCTCCTATGGTGTGAGTGTGTTGGGTTTGGTTCCCAGGGGGCTGCAGGGTCACATTAAAGTACCTGAGGACAGCATCACTGGCATCCCGCCAGGGTCCCCCAGTCCCCAGTCTGTGCCCTTGACAGCCCTGGCTTGTTTCATCACTGCAAGTGGCCCTGGGCCTTAAGGCTGTTACTATTTGACACATAATAGTGGGCCCCCAAGGCAAGAAGGACAAGGTGTTGTTAATGACCTTGAGGAGTCCACAGATAGCCAACTGGAAAGGGAATAGTGGTGAGGAGCTGGGGTTGGCATATTTTGGGGAGAAAAGCCATTGATACCACAGCAGACCACCCTACGATACCCTCTCACTCACATGTGTGCACACACACCAACAGGGCAGTGAGGTACAGTCGTGGGAAACAGTCTGCAGAGCTGAGTGCACTGCCTTCATGCCTACTAGATTCTCACCACACCCTCAGGAGCACAGATGCTGTCCCTCAGGCCGCCGTCATGTATGGGTGAAGTGGAGCACACAGGCCACCTAAGCAGGGAAGACCATGTATGCTGTGTCTCAGCCCACTGACCCACTGGCTCACGCGGTACAGGAGCCCCCTCACACTCCGCATCTCACCAGCTGCTTCATCAGTGAGCAGTTGGTTCAGCATTGGCTGCTGATGGACAGAGACAGGAAAGACATACCCTACCCCAGTCTCAAGCACGTAGTCCACCACAAGCACAGGGACAGCTGCTGAAGAAAGCCTAGTCCCTGGGGTGCAGAGCTGGCAGGTATGGCCAGTATTCCTTGGTGTGGCCTACTGGACCAGCTGCCCAGCCCCACAGGTATGGTGCCCTTGACCTAGGTCTTGCCACTTGCTAGCTTAGCTTCTCAGGAGGGGAAAGCCCTCTCACCATAGCAGGATGCAGTGGCCTTAGTTTCCCTATTGGTGCTCATTTCCTGGCTTCTTCAGGTGGGCTTTGTCATATGCCACATGAGCTCACAGCCTTCCTTCCAAGTCCAGCTGTGTGTTGGCAGCACCCAGGAAAATGAGGCAAGAGGTGTCCTGTGCCAGATTTTCTGACTTTCACCTTGGTCTCTCTCACCATAAGCCAGTCCCTCTAAAAGAATTGCTCCTTCACATGAGCTCACAGCCTTCCTTCCAAGTCCAGCTGTGTGTTGGCAGCACCCAGGAAAATGAGGAAAGAGGTGTCCTGTGCCAGATTTTCTGACTTTTACCTTGGTCTCTCTCACCATAAGCCAGTCCCTCTAAAAGAATTGCTCCTGGGGTTTTTGGCATAGCTGCCTCCAGTCTGAGCTTGTGTATTGCAGGATTTGGGAGTGCTTTGTTGAAAATTCTAATGGGCCTTTAAAAACATTTTTTTTTTAAGTGCTGGGGATAGAACCCAAAGCCTTATACATATAAGACAAGTGCCCTGCCCGGAGCTGCACCCTAATGTTAAGAAGTTCAGAAGGGCTTTCCCAGTTTATCAGAAAGTCAGTTTGAGTCTTTGGGCTCCTGATATGGTATTTTACTCACAGGCCTAGTGATACCTGGCCTTGCCTGCTGTTATTTCATGGGTTTCAGGTCTCTGGACCCCTGATCCCCTCCCAGACCCTCCAGCAGATGCACAAAAGCAACTGAGCCAAGCAAGGTGACACCTGGGGCCTCATTAGGTCTCCTAGCTGTCTGGCCACTGGCCCTCAGCACTTTCCACCTCAGCCCACACGATACAGAGGGGGCCAGCCCTCAAGGTCCCTGGTGCCAACTGGCCTCTCCCATAGACCCTTCTGCCAAGCTTGCCATTTTTCCCGGCCCAAATCTGATTTTTAGGCATTGTTTTTATTTAAACCTTCTCAAATACTGACAGAATCTTCCGGATTTGCCATATCTATTAGAACAGCTTTGACACCTGTCATATCCCCCTACCCCTGTCCTTCCAGGTGCTAGCTGGGCCAACAGGTGCCATGCTTTGGATCCATCTGAGCCCACGTAAGACATTGACCATGCTGGCCAGTTCTGGGGGCATAGGAACCTGAACTCTGTCCTCTCCAGCACTTTTGAGGTTCTTCCTCTCAGTCTGGGGCCTGAGATCAAAGCAGGGTATATCCTGGAAAGCTGATTATTGTATGCCAAGGCCTTATCAGCCTAACAGGGTCTCTCTAGAGACTCCCGGGGAGTGGGCTATGAAGGTCAGGTTCACTGTGCTGGGCACATAGGCCCCTCTGGCTACCCAGCTAGGCTGAGCTGCCAAGTGGATGTGCTAGTGAAGCCAGTTGCCCAGGCATGTGCTCATGCATGTGTGCACACATTTCTGTGGGGGCAAGTGCTGCACTCTGCATCTTGACATGAGCCCTTCTCTGCATGAAAGAGAAAGAAGAGGTCTTGGCATTACCAGGCAAGTTCCTTTGGTTTTCCAAGCACAGAAGCCCAAGTCTAATTCACCTCTGCTGCCCCAGGGTTCTGCAGAGCCTCTCTGTCTGCTCAGGCCTTAGCCTCTGTGGACACAGCCATGGGCAGGTCAACACCCACACCATGTCGGCCAAGCATAGCTCTGCCTGCCCTTCATAGAATTAGCTCTGGGAACCATTTGTGTTGATTGAGAAGATTTTTGGGGTTTTATTTTTCCTGAAGAAAGAGTTTTCTTTCTTCTTAACCAAAAGGATTAGAAGTACAAGCTTTGTGCTTTGTTATAAAGAACAATTGATTTTCCTGCAGGCCAAGCCTTAGTAAGTTTAAGAGATGTTGTGAAGTGTAGAGAACCTCTTTCTCAGACCAGACTCACCCTACCTTAGACTACATTGGACCTAGAAATTCGCTGCCTATTGTACATCCTGCCTGCTGCCTTATTCCCCAGCACCTCCTCTTTCACTCAAGGAGGAGAGAGGTCCAGGACCTTACCCAGTTCTGGAGCTGCTGGAAGTCTCCCCTTCACCTACTACACTTTGAATCTGATCCTGAAACCCGAGGGACCATGTGTCCTGTCCTCAGGACAGCAACAGGTCCAGGCCTTCTGACCCTGATTACTAGCCAGGCCCATGCTGGCTGTGCTCAGTCAGCCTTCCTGGACAGGCTCTGTGCAGCCACCTAGAACCCATCACTGCCCTGCCACAGGCCCATCCAGGTCCAGGACTAGGGCTTAGAGGTGTACCATGCACTCAGTGAGCAAGGAAGCCAGAACTTGGGATTGACCTTGTGTAGAAGCTTTGGACCCTCTGTCACTCACAGCAGCTTCTCTATCTACATGGGCTCAGGCAGAGCACAGCCTGATCCTGAGCTGGCCACACTCCCCATGTTACCAGCTCCCCTACTTCCAGTTGCCCTCCCTGGTAGGGTGGTATGACTACAAGCCTCACAGGAGTCTCGCTGACCAGGGCCTTCCCTTGCAGCCATACGCACTCACCTGGGTCTATGGCCACAGTGGGGGAGTGGTCCTGTGCACGTTGCACCTTCCTGAACCCGGCCGGCCAGCGCCAGTGTTCCATCTGCGAAGCCCCCCGACACAAGCCTGACTTGGACCAGATTCTGCGGCTCAGCGTGGAGGAGCAGAAATGGCCCTGTGCTCGCTGCACATTCCGGAACTTCCTGGGCAAGGAGGCCTGTGAGGTGTGCGGCTTCACCCCCGAGCCTGGCCCTGGTGCCACCCTGCTGCCCATCATCAATGGGGTCCTGCCCAAGCCACCCACTGTCCTTGTGGAGCCAAAGGGCAGCTGCAAGGAAGAGGCTGGCTCAGTACAGACGGTGGGACTGGGGGCCATGGAGCCAGCCAGGGGGCACCCTGAGGAGGAGGAAGCAGAGGAGCTGGAGGACCCAGAGGAGGGGGCAGAGCCTAAAAGTGGCTGGGCCTGCCAGCGCTGCACCCTGCACAACACACCTGTGGCCAGCTCCTGCTCTGCCTGTGGGGGTCCCCGGAAACTGTCACTGCCCAGGATCCCCCCAGAGGCCCTGGTGGTCCCTGAGGTGGTGGCCCCCTCAGGCTTCCATGCTGTACCCGCCCCTACCCTGCCAGTCCTTCCTGGGGAAGGTGCTGAGGCTGACCCTCCCTCTACCAGTCAAGGTCCAACTTCTACTAACCCGGAACACCCCAGGGTACCGCCCTTCAGCCCCTTCTCATCCACCCTACAGAACAACCCTGTGCCCCGAAGTCGCCGAGAGGTTCCTCCCCAGCTGCAGCCACCTGTGCCTGAGGCTGCTCAGCCTTCACCCTCTACTAACTCCAAAGGCTGGGCCGGGGCTGGGGCTGGGTCCTCCCGCCTGGCGGAGCTGCTGTCAGGCAAGAGGTTAAGTGTGCTGGAGGAGGAAGCCCAAGAGGACAGGCCCACCCGTGGCGAGGCCTGCAGCCCTGCCCCAAGCAGTGATGTCATTGACCTGGCTGGTGACACTGTACGCTACACACCTGCCAGCCCCTCCAGCCCTGACTTCACCACCTGGGCCTGTGCCAAGTGCACACTCCGGAACCCCACAGCAGCCCCCAGATGCACAGTCTGCGACTGCTCCAAGCTGCATGGCTTCCAGGAGCATGGTGAGACCCCCACCCACTGCCCAGACTGTGGTGCCAACAAACCAGGCCCCTGTGGCAGTGGCTGTGGACGGGGCCCCTCAGCTCACAAGGCTGCTCGCCTCCTAAGTGAGCGCTCAGGCCAGTGGTCCTGTCCTGCCTGCACCCTACTCAACATGCCCCGGGACACACATTGCGCAGCATGCCACACTCCACAGCTGCTGGTGTCCCAACACTGGGGGGCCACACCCCTGAGGCGCCGGGAAAGTATGCATGTGGAGAAGCGGCGTCAGACTGATGAGGGCGAAGCCAAGGCTCTCTGGGAGAACATAGTGGCATTTTGCCGGGAGGTGAGTGGCCCCTTTCTTGACCTGAGCTCAACCATGGTATCTGCTAGCGATCTAGATGTGTGATAGTCTCACGCTTGCCCAGGAGTATCCCTGAACCCCTCAGACATGTAAGCCCACAAAGGAGCACTGTGGGGCTGCTGGGGGCTGTATGGAGACTGTTGAAACTCAAGGGTGGAGGAGCAGTGGCAGCCCCTCCAGGCAGGGGCTAAGGGCAGGTCAGTACTTCTGTCCTTTGCTGCTGCAGCCCCTCCTGAGCCTGGCAGTAGCAGCAGACTGCCTCAGGTCCCCTTAGCCCTCACCTGCCAGGCTGCACCATCTCCCAGGTACACACTTCCTGCTTTCAACTGGTCACCAACTGTAGTATCTTGATCAAGTGGCTGTGTACCCCACCCTCACTCAGGGTCATCCTGACAATGAAACCTCCATACAGGTCTGGCTGGCCAAGTGCACGTTAGGACCACCCCCCAATTCTTCTGGGTCTGTTCTGGGAGGGTGGGGCCATCCTGGACCTGAGTGTACCCTGCCCAGCCTGAGTGTCTGGCTGTGATCCCTGCAGAACAGCGTGAACTTTGTAGACGACAGCTTCCCCCCTGGGCCTGCATCAGTGGGCTTCCCCATGGGAGACAGCGTCCAACAGCGCGTGAAGCAGTGGCTACGGCCCCATGAGATCAACTGCTCCGTCTTCAGGGACCACAGCACCCCCTGGTCTGTCTTCCTCACACTCCGGCCCTCGGATATCCTGCAAGGGTTACTGGGGAACTGCTGGTGAGCTCCAGGCACCTGCCCGGGGCCAAGCAAACCTGGTGGAGGCTGGGAGGCCACTGGTCTGGCCATGGTCCCCTGGTGAGGCCACCTGGTCCACACAGGTTCCTGAGCGCACTGGCAGTGCTAGCTGAGCGGCCTGACCTAGTCGAGAAGGTGATGGTCACACGCACCCTATGCGTGGAAGGTGCCTACCAGGTGCGACTATGCAAGGATGGCACTTGGACCACAGTGCTGGTAGACGACATGCTGCCCTGTGATGAAGCTGGCTTCCTCCTTTTCTCGCAGGTGGGCCCATGGGGTGTAGAGTCGGGTGGGCAGGCTGGGGCTGCCTTGTGACTCCAGTTTCTCCCTAGGCACAGCGGAAGCAGCTGTGGGTGGCTCTCATCGAGAAGGCGCTGGCTAAGCTGCATGGCTCCTACTTTGCCCTCCAGGCAGGGCGCGCCATCGAAGGCCTGGCCACGCTCACTGGTGCCCCCTGCGAGAGCCTGGCGCTGCAGGTCAGCTCCACTAACCCCCGAGAGGAGCCTGTTGACACTGACCTCATCTGGGCCAAAATGCTGAGTTCTAAGGAGGCTGGGTAAGAGGGGCAGGTGCTACCAAGGCCTGCAGCATTGGGAAAAGAGGCAAAGTGAGTGGTGGGAAAAGCAGGCGACTGTACCTTCTGACTCGTACTGGCTGTAGTCCAAAGGCTTGGTCAGGACTCTGTCCAGATGGGGCTGGCACTGCCATTCTGGGAAGACCACATCCTGATCTGGCCTATGGGAAGAGCCAGTGACCACTGCCTCCAGCTCAGAGCCTACTGAGGATCCTGTGGGTTGGGGAGTGTGTCTGAGACTGGCCCTACCCGGTCAGCATTCTGAGCCTCGACCCCAAGAACCTGTGGAAGGGTGCAGACCCTGCAACCCACCTGCCCCAGCTGGGTCCAGGGTGGAGGGCTGGGCCCAGACTTCCTGAGCATGTGTCCCCCATGGTCAGGGAAGGGCCCCTACCTGCTGCCCCTACCCGCCCCCATCAGCAAGGGCCGCTCTGCTGCACAGGTTCCTCATGGGTGCCTCCTGCGGGGGAGGCAACATGAAGGTGGATGAGGCTGCCTATGAGAGCCTGGGCCTGCGCCCCCGCCATGCCTACTCCATCTTGGACGTCCGTGATATTCAGGGCTCCAGGTAGGAGCTGGTTGGTGTGGTGGTCAAGTGTGGGGACACAGGTGAGTGCATAGTGCAACCGTGACCCTCAGCCCTGTGGTCTGTAGGCTCCTACATCTCCGGAACCCTTGGGGCCGTTTCTCTTGGAATGGCAGCTGGTCTGATGAGTGGCCTCACTGGCCAGGACACCTGCGGGGTGAGCTGATGCCTCGGGGAAGTAGCGAGGGTGTCTTCTGGATGGAGTACAGTGATTTCATCAGGTACTGTACACCTTGGCCTGCTCATAGATGGGTACTTGGGGAACTGTCCACTCTTGTGCTAACCTTGATCCGCTTAGCTTCTGTGTATCCTAAGTCTTGGTGGGAAACTCAACTACAGCTCCTGGGTTGCCCTTTAAATCCAGGTCTGTATAGCGCAGCCTGGGCCGGGTGTCCCTGGTGGTATCTAGGGGCCTGCAGCCAGCACTTCCTGGCAAGGAGATCCTTTCCAGAGGGCTCCCAATGGAAGACCAGACAGCGAGGCTGTGGGCCAATGCTAGGAGCCAAGCAGCAGAGGCCCACAGGTATGGACACCATGTCCAGGAGCTGTAGTTTCAGTGTACCTGTCCTCACATCTAGGTACTTCGACTCTGTGGATATCTGCAAGGTGCATTCAGATTGGCAGGAGGCACGGGTTCAGGGGAGCTTCCCCAGCTCTGCCAGCAGGCCTGTGGGAGTGACAGCACTCACTGTGCTGGAGCGCGCCTCACTGGAGTTCGCCCTCTTCCAGGAGGGCAGCAGGTGGGCAGTGGACAGGGTGGGTCTGCTGGGCTGAGGCCCATGGCCACAACCATGTAAACCCCCAGCCTATCATCTTTGGCCTGCAGGCGCTCAGACACAGTGGACAGCCACCTGCTAGACCTGTGCATCCTGGTGTTTCGGGCCACCTTTGGCAGTGGTGGCCGCCTGAGTCTGGGTCGCCTGTTGGCCCACAGCAAACGTGCTGTGAAGAAGTTTGTGAACTGCGATGTCATGCTAGAACCTGGCGAGTATGCTGTGGTATGCTGTGCCTTCAACCACTGGAGCCCTGCCCCACCAGGGCCCCCCACCACACAGGGTAACAGCCTTTTAGACCCCAAGCCCAAGCCCGCCTCCCCACCTGGGGGGCCTGCCAGATCCTTTACTCATGCCCCCTTACAGCCTCCAGCCCCTCAGCAGGCATCCCCCGAGGCACCCCTGAGTCTCCCGGCCACGTGCTTGCGGTGTACAGCTCAAGAGTGGTCATGGTGGAGCCAGTGGAGGCACAGCCGACCACACTGGCTGACGCCATCATCCTGCTCACTGAGAGCCGAGGCGAGCGGCATGAGGTGGGTGGAGTTCCTCCCACAGGGGCGGGCATCTGCGCAGCCTGGCCCCAGCCTATATACGGTCCCTGTACTCAGGGCCGTGAGGGCATGACCTGCTACTACCTGACACATGGCTGGGCTGGGCTCATCGTGGTGGTAGAGAACCGGCACCCCAGGTCCTACCTGCATGTCCAGTGTGACTGCACCGACAGCTTCAACGTGGTATCCACACGTGGCAGCCTGCGCACCCAAGACAGTGTGCCACCTCTGCACAGGTGGGTGTCCCTGCCCCAGACCCCAACTCTGGCCTCCTGCTGGTCCTCACCAGCCCCCTCCCCCAGGCAGGTCCTGGTGATCCTGTCCCAGCTGGAGGGCAACGCTGGATTCTCCATCACACACCGTCTGGCACACCGCAAGGCAGCTCAGGCCTTCCTCAGTGACTGGACAGCCTCCAGGGGCACTCACAGCCCCCCGCTCACACCTGAGGTTGCTGGCCTACATGGGCCCCGGCCGCTGTGACCACTGCGCCCTTGGGCGGGGCTTGTGCAGACCGCCCACCTGTCCCCCACATGCACTTTACGAGGGAGACCCTGACGAAGGACGCTTGAACCAGAATCTCAGGACCCCCTCCCAGGGAGCCGCCAGCCACAGCTTTCCCTGGGCCCTCCCATGCCCTTCTATTCCTCCCCATCCCTGAGCACCCTCAGGCCCCTGGCCAGGCTCCCGGCCACTAAGCAGAATACCTCGAACCAGGTGGGCCATGTGCCAGCCCCCATGACCTGCCAGCCCCAGGGACAGCATTCGACAGTGGAGGCCAAGCCAAGCTGACTCATCACCCGAACCGTGAGGCATCTCCTGCCAGGGAGAGGTAGCCAGGAACTCTGTTCACAAAACCAAATCTGGGGGTCAGAGGCTAGGACCCCTTGGTAAGAGCCAGGACTACTCTTGGTCCAGGGTGGCAGCCTCTCCTCAGTTTTCCTAGAGCCTGGCTCCTAACCCAAAGACACAGGCAGGGAGGGTCCCTGGAGCCCTGGTGTTTGAGCAGTGCATCCCAGGAGGTGGGTGCCTGGTAGCCACAGGCTGGGGCCCCTCCATGATACTATGCAATTCCTGGAGTGCATGCCAGGATTGAAGCCATGACGGGGCAGCAAGTTGGGATCTGGGCCCAGCCCTGCTGTCAGGTGGGGTGCTTTGTCCTCAGCAGCCCTGACTGTGGCCAGGCAGGCCAGGGTCCAGCCAAGCCCTGGCCTTCACTTAGCCACAGAGGGGGACCCTAGGCCCAGCACAGGCACAAGGCAGGGCACACACTCCCCCCAAGAAGCCCAGTGAACTGAGCCACCCGCCTGCCTGGCATCCCCTCGCTGCTTGAAGCCAGTCACCTTGTCTGCCACGTGAACATTCAAGTCCAGCTTCCTGGGTTCCCCGCCCAGCCACCACTGTCCTGCAGGTAGCCAGCCTGCCCATAGCCCTCGCATCTTGTGGGGTTTGTAAGGTTTTTACACCTAGAAACACATTCCCCTCTCCCCCTGAGCCTCCTTTTATTCTGAGCTGTGAATATTTTTAACCCTGTAAATATGGTCAGCTCTCCCCACACAGAGACCATTTTATCAGCTGTCAGTCCCTTCCAGGTTTGAGGACTCCATGGGCGGTTTCCACTCAGGCTCCAAGGACCAAATAAAAGCGATTTGTTTTGTAAAGGAAGCTTTTGTCTGTTTCCCTCCTGGGGTCTTGGCCTGCAGAAAGGCAGACCCTTCAAGGGCCACCTCCCCAGGCAGCAAGTGGGGTCTCCATAGTGGAGCTGCACCTATGGGGACCAGGGCCTGTGGTGTTGACCATGTGTGTGGTTGTGTCCAAGATTAGCTTCAGATGTGTCTCCAAGGGACAGCAGAGAGGCAGGGCAGACACTGTCAAGAAGGACCAAGCATTCATGCTGGGCAGAGGCTAGGGCCAGACTGCAACCTCAGAAAGGACCCTTGTGGCAGGCCGGATAGTGTGTGTGTGTGTGTGTGTGTGTGTG